TATTCTAATATAGTCTTTCCTTGCCAAACCTCACAATTTTATATTCGGAGGGGCGCCAAAATTAGTTCCCGCCCCGGGCGCGCGTTAACCTTCGCACGGCCCTGCACGTCCTTGTATATCTATCTACGCGGGTTTCCAAAGAAATATCATGGATGTGTGGATTCATAAAATCGGACAACATCCATGAATGTCCAAGTATATCAATGCAAATTTGAAGATAACCTGTGGATATCCATAAATCTACTACTCGATCTACTCCTACTAACGGGATATTGTTTGGTGTACGAAATTCTATCTGACATTTTCCCCTCGCGAGGAATCTTAAACCTTAAACCGAAAAGTTCAAAATTCCTTATTTAACTTTTTTACATTTCGTACACAGTTTTCCTTTGATTTCCGACAATGTACACAGGTTGAAAGTGACAAAAGAGATCGAGATCGAAAAGTGTAATGTGTAAGATATTTTTGAAATGTATTGCAATGGTTTCACAAATATTATTTTGCACATATAGAGAGAAATGTGGAATTTTGGAAGGCGAGAAAATATTAAGAACATTCTGATCGAAGATATCCAATATTACCTAATGTAATCGTAATGGAATTAAATAAAGAAAGAAAGATATGTAGGAAATTTTGGAAATTTGGAACTGAAAATAGAAGGATTGAACAACTCTAAATAACTAGATTCTGCACCATAATTTTTATATGGGTAATATAGGTATAAATATTGAAAAAGCGTAAGGAATATATTGTGGACAATTTATAATATAAAACACTTTGGTAATAACTATTGACTGTTTTGAAAATATCGAAAATCTTTTTGAAAGGTTGAAATGAGGATTAAGGATCAGGATATGGTACAACCATAGCTTATCTTCTCGATTATTTCACGAAGTTCGAACCTATAAGATACCTCGTAAGATAACATAAAAACTCCAATTGTATACAATTATACTCGCAATTATATAAGATGTCCACTGTATGGAATATAGTAATACCGACTGTAAATGTTTCTAAGTTGTTTAATATTTTATTTCCCATAATAAGGCAACATTTAGTTGTTTTTATTTCAGAAAATACAATTGATTTTTTTTAATAGTAATGTACATTTTTAATACGTTTGTCTGTTAGAGATTTTTTCCCTTTTCGATTACGTAAAATGTTAGTCTCTTATGCAACAAAATTTTGCAAAACAAACTCTTTATTAGGTAACTACATCAATAACATTAACCTAGATATCCTACATCATCAAAATAAAACAAATGAACGTGTACGTTTCTCCTTAAACCAAGGATAATAGGACATAACAAAAAGCTAAAAAAATTAATTTCTTGTATAAGGGTGCTAACATGTTACATTATTGAAAACCGAGTTGAAAACAGAAAAAAAATGCTTCTCCCTATGTCATATTTTTTTTGTGAAACATTTCAAGCTGTGTACCTCACGAAAAATATGAATATGTCTTAATTTTTCAATATATAAATGTCAAATCTACAAGAACGTGACTTTACTGTCTTTGCGTTGATGCTATACAGTAGTATTTTGATTAAAAACTTGGTGTTTCTTAATTTGTCGCAAGAGGTCTTTCTTCCACGGTACGACCAAAAGTACTTTGTACTACTATAAGACAAATTTTCATATACCGAAAATCCGAAGTCAAGAGGTGATCTAGGAGCACAGATTTATAAGGCACAAGCAGACGGACAAACAGACGAAGGAAAATCGAGAAAATAAGCGCTAACCAACTTTGTCGGTTGCGCTAACAGGGAAAAAGTACTTTTTTCCAGGAGTTGTCAACACTAGCATCAGGATCGCAGAAGTTCATGTCAAAATTAATCTACTAACGATGCCTATGTGCATCGCCAAAGTTCATTGTTCCAGCAGGCTGCTGAAGATGCTGACCCAATGATCGTGAAGACAGCGATCAATATAGCCTCATCTTTTGATTCCGTTTTTGTTGTGTGATCGGTTGTGGGCGAGGATGTGGGGGAAGACATCCATCTTCTCGTTTTTCTGACCACATTGTACGATGCTCGACGAGAAACAACATCTTTCAATTTTCTCCGATATCAACAATTCACAAGATCGGTCACCAAAAGTAAGTTCAATCCTGCCTCACTTCCAACCAGAACGGCAGCTGCACGGCAGCATTCTCTCCGAACATACCATCCCGTTCAGTCTTGGTACGATATAAAGATCCGAGTAAAGATCAATACGGAACAATGGGGATGGGAGAGGAGTAAAGGGGATCCTGCTTCCAGAAGCACTCCTCAAATTCATTTCCTGCACATACAAAATAGGACGTGGTCCAGCATATATGACTGTAGAAAGGCGGGTTTAAAATTCTCCATCATTTGCATGCACTGCAACGGAGATGAAACCCAGATCGCCGTTAAGAGGAATCCAACGCGATTGAATATTAACCGTGTGTAAGGGTTTTACTTTATCGTCTCCAACTTCCATAGAATATACCCCTCATACCTCTTAGAAACCATTTCGTTGTGATATGAGGCTGCCAAGGAGGAGAATATCGAAGAGGACGACGGCACTCAACCAATCCCAAAAATTGAATTGACCTGGTCCTTTCAGAACATCCAAACGATAAATAGTTTTTAAAAAAACACACAAGTTTATAACTTCCACTCATTTAAAAAACACTGAGGAGTAGGCTAGAATCACTGATTACAAGTAGATAATTCGTAAATAATACTGAGAAAAGGGCGCGATTTTGCGATTTTAAGAAATATGCCCCACTTTGATATGATATAGCTCAGAAACCGTTTGTTTGTTTAATGAAAAATGACAAAGTTTGTAGAGAATTTGGTCGTCTACAACTTTTTTAATATGTAGGTACTTTTTGGATGGAAGCAACCGAAAAGGAGATAATGCCAAAAAACTTATTTTCGCCGCGTTTGCCACGACAGTACGATGTCGCAAACTTAATAATATGTTATTCAGGGCCTAGAACGGAACTAACATGCCAAATGTCAAAACTCTCCGATTTAATGCAAGGTATACTTAGCTCCCCTTTGAGATTATAGCTTTGACGTTAGAGCACAAATTCGTTTTCGTGCCTTCATTTCCGTTTCAAAATGTTCTATTAGTTAGTCTTTTACCAAAATTTAATGGAAGGTCTACTGAGAAATTTTGTTTTCGCAAACATTTTCTTGTCCATCAAAATAAGTTTTTAATTACATGTCACTTGGTGAGGGCGAAATTATTCTATTTAGTATGGCTCAGTTATTTCGGTTGACCCCAAAACAGGTGATTTTTGCTTACAATTTGCATTATTCTGCCTTATGGCGTTCCAAAGTAAAGATTCTTCAAGTAAATATGTTATGGTTTAGAAAAAAATATCTTGAAATCCGTTTGCAAGCTAATGCGGGCAAAGCGCCACTGTTTTTTAGTTTGCACTCTGCCACAGTCGTGCTTTTTTGTGTAAATTTGTACACCAACTTACGGGGCTCAGTACATTCATCGACACTTGCAGTCAGTATTGTTTCATTATCGATCACACGAACACAAAATTTTTGATTGGAGACCGCTGTACCAATCACACTAAAATTGCAGTCACTCCGTTCTCACATAAAGCAAAGTTCGTTTGCTTAGATAAAAAATGGTTACATTTTAATTGCTCGCGTTAGTTTAATTAGTTATCACACATTGAATTCGATGTTGACAAACAAAAAAAAGTTGCCTGCAATACGCACGACGGCATGGCGTGACAAAGCGATTGCCGAAACTAGCAAATGTCAAGTTCTCACTTTATTTTCGGTGAACCAATGCAATTAGTTGCAAATGAAATTTCGGTACAACTAGCCCATGAAAGCCCCCCGATGACGCCACCACATCTAACAACCGTTGACCCGATGAGAAAAACTGACAATTCACCATCAAGGTCGCCAAAATGCATTACCTAAATTGCTTCTCGGTAAATTCGCCGGAAAAGATGTCTTTAAATTAGAAAAACCGCCTAGGAACTGCAAAAATATATATAAATTCGCAGAAATATCTAAAGTCATTCAACTAAAGATGTAAAAATAGCTTTGTGAAAAATTAAATATGTCGACGCGATTACTTTTCGCAGCGCGAAATTTGTTTAAACAAATTTAGGCTACCTATTTGAAAATGGGAAACGTTTCTTGCGCTCCCACCTGCTGACCCCTCGTAACCCCGTTTATTGGTGCAAACACGTGCAACCACTTCCTCTAGATAACTTAAATAAGTATTAATCGTTATCACCGTTTGAAATATTTCGATATTGTGTAATAACATGTTTTGTTACTTTTGGCAATTTGAGACGTCGACGTACGTACAATTTTGGAGCTACTTATCTTGAACTTAATGCAATTAAAAAAGTACGTAAACATGTTACACAAATGTCTCGGTAAACAGCTTTGTTTTCTTAAAAATTTGGTATTAGATTAGATAGTGCATACATTTATCAAAATTTAAACAAAGAAATATTCGGGGGGAAAATGCAGCCAGAGCCAAGTGTGTTTAAAAATGGATATGGAAAGTGAATTTGTATTTACGTTATTACGTATACCCGTAAGTAAACACACACGCGGTTATGCATGAATACGCGAATTTCGATGGATACAATTTAAAAAAAGCGTCAAGGTAACAGATATTTATTTTTAAAGCGTTGCAGATTTATGCGAAAATCCAAAACAAACCAGAATCGCTATTATTACCCAAATAATCAAATCAATTACTTTATGATGCCATAATAAGTAACCATAAACAAGAATAATTGCCGAAAATGTGCATAATAAAATCACGTGGATCACTCGTCATTAAATAAGCGGCAAATTGATTTACACTGTTTCAGTTAGCAAAAGCGCGAATGCGGATGTGTACTGCAAGTCAAAATCTAATTGGGGCAATTAACCAAAAATCACTTCCTTATCTCACCAACTGATAAAATTGTTTCGCATTGAGCCCACGACGTACATAACGCGCGCGGTGCAGCGAGTATTAAAATATAATAAACATACCTCGCATTTCCATAACTTGAAGTATTTCCGGCAACACAAAAATGGTTTTTATAACACAATTAATAAGCACATTGATACACTAAAAGTCTTATAAACTAATCCAATAGAAAAATGACACTAACACAATAATAAAAACTGCAAAAGCAATTTTAGCCAGCTGCTATTTCTGTTAACCAGGAAAAAATGTTTAAACGAAGTTTTGCGAGCTGCCAAATTGAAGGGGGGACGCGGGCCTTGAGAAGCCGCGGGGAAGATTCATTCGCATAGGTCCTACTATTACGTAAGCAACTGCGGTGCACGGCCGCGGGCCGGGATCACGGCGCAAGGTTATTACATGTGCTACGCTAACAAAGGATTACCAAATCAACAAGGAAACGCATTTTACCTTTTACTTGTGTGCAACACACGAAATTACTACGCAAAAAAAATGATAACGTCACTCTTATCAATATTTAAACAGCGAGCGTAACCACGTAACTCTATCAAACAGAATGTATGGCCAAAAAATTTTATTGCTCTTTTATTTAACCTTGAATCTCATAATTAAAGTGTGTGAGTCACAATAAAAAAAAGACGAAAAGAACTTTTAGCAGTCGAATTTGATCGATTTCCTCGTTTCCTATCACCAGAGTTTCTATTGATTTAATACCACCTACCGTAGTATAGAATAGTATAGTAGTTATTAAAAACACGTATCTAATTGGTTGACCTTCCTAAAATTTGTTTATGTAATCGTCATTGCAACAACTGCAATCTCTGAAAATAATTTTCGGGTACCTATAATATCGTAAAGCTATTTGGGAAATTAAATACTCATTTGCATTCTTGAAGGCTGTACACCTGACCTGTAATGGTGGTAACATCAAACGGCCCACATTTTAAAATTGTTGTGAGCTCTGAATTCCTTCTCTTCTCCAAAAATTTTATTTTCAGTACATAAAATCTAACGTTTTCCTGCCGTGTGTGAAATACAATAATTTTGTAAGAAATGTCTCATTTGTTAAAAACGCCTAAGTACTTTTCAATTATACTGACTTGAAAATACACAAAGGCACACGCATCGTTTTGAAAGTTGTACTTTACACACGTGCGAAGCAGATTTTTTCGCCCTTGACGAAAATTGAGGAGATATTGTTGGACACGATTGGTCACGATCCAGAAACGGTCGACTGCTGTCGAACCAACACCAAAGTCGCACGCAGTCTTTTCTTACTGTTCCCAAACTTTTGTTTATCACCACACCACAGAAAATAGCCAAAAAACGAAGAGATCCTTTTCCAAATCGGTATTTCGCATATACTTATCACTGGTACCTACCCTCGCGGTGATGGAACCAATCTGACGCACTTTGCTTTTAACCCTAAGCATTTCGCCTTAGGACTTCTTGCCCCCGAAGGACACTTTTTTGGCAGTTAGGTTTAATCTCAAAAATTCAAAATAAATTCGACCTACTAATAGATAACGTAGAACCACTACCTACAATGGGTACTGCCATAGGAACTAGAATACTTTTCATACTTAGGGGTCCTTCAAGGTTGACTCGCAGACAGAAAGGATAAATCGCAGATCTTTTAAACCGAAATAGCTTAGTAAATGGTTGCATTATAAGGTATAGTACCATTGCTTTTTACACAAAAACATATTTTAAAAGCCACCTGGCATACATTCACAATCCTCCGACACTCCATTCTACAGATATTTGCACTGAAAGTATTTGACATCACCAATAGCTATGTCTCGTCCAGTCGATTCATTTTGCCTTTGAGAGTACCTTCCTCCAACAAACCGTTTTCGAAATATTCGCTCTTAAAGTTTTGGCATCATCAATGGATATATTTCTTCCAGACGTCCCAATCGCTTTTTGTGAGTACCATCTTCCGACAATCCGTTCTGGATATATATGGGAATATCACAAGGGTCGAGGAGGTAGAAATTCATTCTTTTCGTTGAGACCTTTCATAGAGTACCATGAAGGAAAAAAGGCTACCTGCAAAAAAATTCCAGGACTCTAGGACCATTCCTCTGGAAGTAGCTCAAAACGGCAGAAGTAGGTCCGACCGGACGGACGAACGGCCAAAATGGAAACAATAGCACTTTTTTAATTCTTAAAAAAAAGCGCCAAAAATAACGAGCTGAAGTAATACCTATCACTTTCTGAAATATCTGAAGAGTAAAGAATCCGAGTTACGAGTATTGCTTGCCATTGCTTAAAAAATAGCAAGTTTGTAATTCCACACAAGTAAAAAGATTAATGCTAACTTAATACATATGTAACATTCCTGATTCCTCATATACCGTACTATTCCAATTCGATAAGTCACTAAAAAAGCCAATTTTATTTTTCTCTATCAATGCATTTAACCGTTTTCTCAATCAAATTTTGAGTTTCTTTGATCCAAAATGATCGCGTAACTAAAGTTTAAGTTTTGGCTAATCAAAATGCAGCCATTTGTATCAAATTTATACAACAGTGTAAAATTAGATTTTTTCCTATAACTGATTTTGTAAGAGACACGGAAGAAATCCTTCCTTGGTGCAAGCTTTGATACCATAACGAACCAAATGGCAAAAAAAGTAAATCCGAAAGCGAATAATCTTAGAGACGGACAGGCGGACGAACGGATCCACGCACGGGCGTACAAAGTGGCCGGAATACCACATTTTTTATTTTTGTGGAAATGCGTGAAGACCTTGCCTCTGCATACGCGCAATCCATCTTCTGACATACGTTTTCAATTTTCTTTTATCAGAGGCACCTTCTGTTAACATTTCAGAAAAAATGGTCCACAAATAAAAAATGAAATAAACTTTTTAACTTTAGCGCATTTTTCATAAATTGATCGGTACTTCCGGAAACTTCGTATTACGGACTATTTATGTGTGCAAATAAGTTATGGCATAAATATTTTTGTAAATAAGAAACTTCGTGTTGCACAGTCTACGCATTCACGCACCTGATGCTTAAAATATATGCGATAATGTTTGCGTTAAATACAAGAATCTATGGTTAAAATTTCAAAAAATATATCTGTAAATAAGAAAGTTGACATTGCGCAGTTGGCCCGTCAGATTTTTACAACATGCGATATGCTTGTTTTTACTAGAAGCATCTGTGGTTACAATTTCAACGGAATATCTCTATAAATAAGCAAGTTGACATTGTGTAGTATGCACACATCTGATTTTTACAATATATCGTACTTTGTGCTTATTTTTACTAGCAGCAACTTCAATTTCATTTTATAAGAAGTATCCTACCCTAAAATTTCAGAAGGATTCGTTCACAACTAACGAATGTCGGTCTAGCCATACGCAATAATTGTTTCACATGTTTGCCGTCTCAAAAAAACTTGTAATCTCGTACCCGAATTATGTTATTCTTTGCACCTATCGTTTTAGGACCTTAAATAAAAATTACCACACAATTCCTCTAAAATTGAAGGTTATTCGCATACGTTTTACCATTACTGTGATTTAAATGTTATGCTTGACCAGATGAAGTTAGGGCAGCACTCAGACCAGTTCTTAAATTTAATAAAAAGAAACGCCAAAAAATCAAATGAAATCGAAATCTACGTAAAATTTAACCAGGTACGCGAAAGAGCAAAGTTAAAACATCCAATAACAGTAAAAGAGAATTAAGAGGGATTTTACGCCACTGCATTTTAGCTGCTTTCAAGGTTTTCGTCGTAGAATTCCTGCAACTTTTTTGGTCGCTTTTTTGCATTATGTTAATGAAATGTGATTCTAGGATTGTGTAGAAACAGTTTTCCAAAATATCTAGTTCACCTACTTTTAACAACTTTTAAAACTATAATCAGATCTCAAAGGATTTTACAAAAAAAAATGGACCCAAGTATTGCTTTGTCACTTGCAAAACGAGAAATCCTCAATTTTTTCATTATCAAGTCTGTCTGTCTGTACAGATCTTTTCTAAGCTATCGATGAACTTTCCTTTTTAAAACTTTTTGTATGCTACTTGCTCAAAAAAGTGCAGCAAGACAAACAATTATTACGCGGTGCGAAATCTACAATTTTGTCTTTTGATTTACACTGATCTTCTGTACCTACCCCTCTTAAAATTTGATGGTTGCTTGAGAAAGATCCAAAATTGCAAGTGACAAAATCAAGTTTCACAAAGGCATGGAACAATTACATGGAAAAAGGAATACAACCCTGACCTAGACCCTGACCTTTCGTTTTGTTACATTGGTTAATAATTTTCTTCTATTCTAAATCAATCATAATGTGTTGAAGGGATTTATACGGTATATTCAAGAATCCGTAATTTTAAAGACTGAAATCGAATGAAAGTATACTACTTCCTTGGAGAAATCTCGTTGGATGTCGTTGGCCAGTTAAAAATATTTCAATAAAACAAATGGATAGTGACATTCGTTGGGTTCGTTTTTACGACTCGCACGTTAGTAAGGGAGATAGATATTGCATTGGCGAAAAATGACCCCTCTCACCCATTCTTTTTGGGTCACAATTCGAATGCCAAGGAAGCACAAGGTGGTGTTGAGAGGGAGAGAAAGGTGCGTTTATTTCACATCCCAACTCGAAGCTTGTGCACACACAAGCGTTTGCAATGTACCTACCCCTTTATGCTCATTGCAAAAATTAAACGACGAAGGTTCTGCGTAAGACAACACAAGTGAATGGATGCAAATAGCGTAGTGGTTCCCAAAGGTGAATAGTGTTGCCTTAGTTTAATCAATTAGGTCCAGTTAGACCTGTTGGCAGACATGAATTTAGCGTTCATAGGACAATCAAACATATTATTCTACTCTACAATATGCGTGTGAAACGTTTAGTTATACACATACTGTTTATATACACCCGTTTTGTCTGATCGTCGCTTACCATATGTTGTTTTTTGTTGTTGTTGTTGTTATCTATATTGACAATTACGCAATAACGTGAAATAAATATTATAAATTATTATTTCTAGCGCTCAGGAACAGTTTATTTCATACCTGTTAATAAAGTCATTGAAAGTATGTATTAACAGGCCCGTCATGTCTATTGCAATTGATCATAATCTTATTTGATAAAATCCAAAACAAGTGTTTATGTAAACTTATAGTAGGTGCCTTTTAAAAATGCGGGTATTACAGTTACATAGAAGCAAATGTGAAATTAGTGTAATGCTCGTGAATTTTTAGCTAATTTAAGTGGCATTCAAACAAATAGCAGAAAATAATGTTGCATGGGAACAGAACGTCCTCTAAAGATTGCAAGTGTGATGTGTGAACAGTGTATCTCATTACCGTATTGTACGCATTAATACTTTAAACTTTAAAATTAAAACCCCCTCCATCAAAAATTCAATAATGTTTGGGAAAATGTATATGTATGGATTATGGAATCAAAAGTTTAAAATCTCTGAAGGAGTGTTTTGTACGTATTGGTGCAGGCCACTTTATAAGGTTAAGGGATGCAGATACTGGCTATAGTCGTGATTATTACAAGATATGGCTTGTGACTCATGAGGTTTGGAGGATTATAGAAGACATACCTACGTTTATTGTCTACATTTGAAATGTAGATTCGACACATCTGCTATGTATATAGATACCAACTGACCAACACATTCATCACTGTCAGCGAGAAAGCTGATTTTATACAGGATATATATATATATATAATCACAGGCTACTCCTCGACTACACTAGTTACTAGAGATATCACTGCTTATTCTTTCCAGTGCTTTAACCGAATCTAAATATGCTCAAATTAACGAAAAGTGGTAGCTTGTGGATCATAAATATCACTAAATTAAATTTTGTAAGTCAATCTCCATTTATGGTTCGACGCTGAAAGATGATTAGAGGAAATAATAACTATCTCAAGATCCCACTAATATATGAGTCCGTGAAGTTAGCAGTGTATGAGTAGCACAAAATCCGGAGAACTGCGCATAGTTTTGTATCGCAATCAATTTGTCACTCTCATCTTATTACATTTTTTGGGTGTACTGCGAACTTCGCATTGTTTTGTACCGGATTTACGCAGAAATGTGTCAGTCAGTTTGTCAGAAAAACTCTGTTTTCAACCTATGGCATATTTAGACGAATTTAGAGAATGGAGCAACCATCGAGATTTTGGGCAAACCGTAGAGGAATTGTATAAAATTGATAGACTATTATTCAGGTTCGGCCAAGAATTGCAGTCGGAATTTTTTTCCGAATTTTTAAAAACAAATTTTAGATTCGTCCGGCCGCCCACACGATAACACTGTGACACATAAAGTTCAAATTTTGTACAAAGATAGGGCATGATACAAACTATATATAGGTACAATCGGTTCAAAACACGTAAAGTAGAATCACAAAAATATCTTAAACATGAACAAATAGTTCGTGCACAGTCTTAAACAATAACACCAGAATTACAAATCATAAAAATGAAATCAGAATCCAAAAGTTAAAAAAACGAATCATGAGCAAATGGTAACTATAATTAATTTACAACCAACGACATAGTTATTTTTTTATCACTTTTTAGGGTTGCTGGAAACAACCATTTTGCATATTTTGAAATATACATTAAGAAAGAAATACCTATACATATTACCTGTGCGATTTTTGTACAATTTTGAACCAATATTACGACATTTTGTCATCAATCTGAGTGCTCAAATAAGCTACTTTTTCGCACTAGTGCTAATATGGGAAAAGATGCTCATTTTGCCACTTGTTGCATAAATATGTAACAATAAGCAATAATGTAAAATATAAAATGATGTAAAAAGCAACTTATATGCAGTTTACAGATCTCATCTGCCAAACTTGAAAACTTCGCGAAACTTTGTTTAAATGTCGCCACACAAAAATTTCCTTTTAGTGCTATATCGTGTAGGATATATCTCCTCCAAGATACATAATTACGAATATGTGATGTTTCGATAAGAGCTGAGGTCAAGTTAATTACTGTGAGAATTGCATACTATAATTACTACATACGCATTCTAAATGCCTCGTCTCTGTGAATTCATAGCATGTGCTAGAACGAATATTGATAAAATACCATTCCTTCAAGTTTATGTCGTGTCGAGAATAGTTCATACAGTATATATGCCTCGATCATTATACAAACAATATGCAGAATAAGCTGAGAATATTCTGTGAATCTCAGAATATCCCAAGTTGTGTATATACGTGTCATGTTCTAAAAATATTCAAACAAAATAGAGAACATTCTTCTAAGTTTATTCTCAGAATATCTAAGATTCCTATTCGCATATCTATAGTATATTTTCTAAGTATTCTTCTAGGTCTATTTAATGCATGTTCAATATACTTGATGTATTACAGAAATATTCAATGTTATCTGGAAATAGCTATTAGAGAACTTAAATAAACAGGACACGTATATTCAGGTAATTATTGTCTAAAAAATTGTGTGATTTTGCTGATAGGGTCATAAGCCATAAAACCCAATTTATCTATAAATCAATAAACAAATTCCGCTGAGGTTGGGATTTCGCCTACTATTTTTATATGGCATAACACCTCTTACAATTTCTAGCCGATTTCGAAAACCGCACAATTTTCTTTAATGAGAAAAGGCTTAATATAACAATTAGACTTTCCACTATGCCTTAAACATATATTCGGTCCGTACAATTCGCGGGAAATATTATAAAACAAGGAAATTCTGATTCGTATTTTGTCGTGAAGTAAAATTGTATAAAACAATGCCTAGGACATGAATGCAAATACAAATATCTTTAAGGCATGCTTTAAGTATTGTAGAATGGTAAACACTCAACAGTTTTGAAGTTCTTGTTGGGGTTTTTCTTATTCCTTGGAAATAGTAAAAGCATATTTTTTTGCTGATCTCCATTAAAATACCGTTGTTCAAAACCTAAATCGCGTTTTCTATACTGATTACGTTGAAATACAGTGTGGCTATACTTAGATAGGTGACTGTTGAAGTTACGCTAGTCGTTTTAAAAGGTACCAGTGCAGTTTAATGAAAAAACTTTTGTCCTTTACTAAGAGTACTTCTCTTTTCAGGGAATCCCAGCCATAAGGACTTGATTTTGGCTATAACTTTCACTATAGTATTCCACATATACATAATTACCTACTTGCATATGACAGAAATCATTTTTCGCACATCTTTTAAGAGCTTAAAAATTGCACTACTTAGTAGTGTTTAAATTTTTGTGTAATACAGGAGGATCCCTCCCCTCCCATGAATGACTTCCTATTTTGACAAATGCAATGCTAGTATGTGCTTTGTGTTACGCAAGACCTTAAAATTGTGAACTTGAAAAACTCGCAAAATCCTCATGTGAGATCGAAGGGACTTCCGCGCATTTCTGTGTGGCAGAAATCTGAGATCTTTTTTAGCAGTTGTGTTTTAAAATATTGGTCACAAACTCACAACTCACAACCCATGCGAAAGAATATCATATTCATAATAAATGTAGGCGCCTCATTTAATTGAATTACAACAACAACAATATCAAAATCCCCACATTCTGTATAAAGCACAGTACAGATAATGCGCAAAGTCGATTCCTGTCTTGGTTTATACGTTGTACGTATTGGTTTTGTGTAAAACGTGATCACATTGTTAATCTTCTCCAATGGCGGATTTTAACAAAGAAAAAAGAAAATTAATATACTGTATATCCCAATGGACTCCCGACTCGAACGTACAAGAGGCAAGTGCAGACATCGCAAGTATACACCGGATAACTTTTTGTTTACAGTTTGATATCGACGTATCGGATTTAACAGTGTTGTTTCAAATTATGGGGTATACATTGGAAGAGTTCGAAAGGGTGCCTGCTATAGAGGAGAATGGCGAATCAGCGTCATCAACCGGTCAATTATCTACATCTCGAGTGCAGTTGATATGTTCAAAATCAGGAATGAAAAGCACACTAACTAGAACGTTAAAATCATGTCAATGCCCAAACACTCAAGATTTAGATAAAGGTCAATCATGGTTCGTAACCGGTTGTGCGCCTTCTTCCAGTCAGGTAAACTGTTTAATGAAAATGCAACAATTTGACCATATTTACTTGCAGAGCACCATCAGTTCGTCTGCATGCTCCCTCATACCCACAATTTCAAAGTGTAAGGCAAGCATAGTCGGCCACCTCATCGACAAGGCTATATCTGCAATAAAAGATAAAGACACACGTGACACAGAAACGACATTAAATTTATCTCAAAATGCACTCCTCAGTCGTCATCGATCATTGGACACATTAAAAGCGAAAGAGGGATCAAAATTATTCAGTGGAAACTTATCAAAAGACCTGTCGTGGGAGGTGGACCCAAGAACTTCTCCACCAACGCAAGCCTCTAGTCCTAGTCCATTACCGGACCTAACTCGAACTCTAAGTGGATTATCTTTAGATGCAAGCAAACGTGCAACATTAATTAGACATTTATCTACAGTTCAAGAATTGGTGAACGAAGCGTTAGAAATAGCAGGTCCTAGTTCTACATCCATAAAAAAGACACAAAAGAGAAGGGTGTCAGACATCAAACCAGAACCTAGCACTCCCAGGAAAAAGGCAACTCCAAACAGACGACTATTATCTTTGGCGACGAAGCATTGCGGAATACCAACTCCGACATTTCAAAAGGTGGTGCCGAGGATAGCAAGTACAAGTAAATATGCAGTCGGTGTCAAATCAAAATTTAACGTGTCGTCCACCGTGTCTGCTAAACCGACAGGCATAAGTTCATTGTATCGAACTGCAAGTAAACCTGCTACCACTGCATCAACTGTTGCAAAATGCAAAAACCCGGTATTTGGGAAAAAATAATTTTAATAATGTATTGTAATTTTATTATTTAGGTAAATATATTTTCCTGTTTGTTTATTACCTCGAGAATTATTCTAGCTTTGGCATGCGGCGTGATAGATTCCTTTTACGAAGCGGAGAAGTGACGAATGACTCTTACTTATGTTTGATATAAACACGTTTCTTTTCGCAACCCCGTTTTGGAGTGAGCCGTCTTGCAGCACGTTTACGTTGGAAGCAGATAAAAGAGACCCATTGCATTTTTTCATGAAAAAGCACATGAACCGATTTATTGAATTTATCAGTTACTTAATATCCACGATCCACCATGTACATTTTGATGGGATTTGATATTCAATTAACTTCGCAGTCGCACCTTAATTGTCTTTGTATAACACCCCAAAAATATTTAAATAGGCGTACAAAAGTTTAAATTGCGTGTGTGATAATGGGCACGGATACCGATATTTCATGTTCAACACCACAATTAAAGCTGGCAGGATTCAACAAAGGTAAAAATAATCATTGAGAAAAAAGTCTTAACCTCTATAAATAAATTACATAAAATACGATTTACTGAGTATTAGCAATAATGTGTGAAACAGAATAATTTAAACACAATTGTAAAACGAATGCTAAAAACCGTACTTGATCCGTCACCTAATTAATTATACACCCAAATCAAACAGCTTCCCAGAATAGTAATTGATTCTGGATAAGTAAAAAAGAACATAGCGATAAAAATATTTCCATGAAATGTCAGGCCCAAGAGGGGAAGGGGGCGGTTGAGGCGACATCCCCTTCTGAGAATCTTCATAATGTAGAAATAGCAATAAACGCACCAAAACTAAGAAACGTGGTGAAATACTACACCGAAAATCTAAAATGCGGTAAGTATTACATTTTGTTTTTGTTTATCCGATAAAGTTGACACTTATTTGGTACTGTCGTTGATAACCTTTTACAAATCTGCTTTTGCTGAAATATTTACAATACACGAGCCCTAATGGTTCATATTTGGGACTGTTTTGGCATTAAGTTCTTTAAATTATGACAACCCCGAAATTCCCTTGCACAACGAATTTCTTTGAACAAAATGCCTATACTACATTTTTTTTGGGTATATAAAAGTCTTGACAATATAAATATAGGTAATTCTTTATAAGTTGCACTGAATCTTACCTTTTGGTGAAACTTTTCTCTGGATCCGTGCGCCTAGAAAAGTGCCGTATTTCTCACTAGCAGCGATATCGAGAAAGAGCCTTGTAATTCAAGAGTAATTCGCTTTAAACCAATAATCCCCCTCAGATATAAACAAAACCTTATTTTTTTAAAAATTCATTTTACCGCAATATTAACTCAAAAGCGTTAGCCAATGTTGGGGGATTTACTTAATTTTAATTTTACATTATTTTGTCCTAATGTGTCTGCTTCTTACTATATGTATACAAATTGTGATCCTCCTGTCTTACACTCTTACTTCATGTTCATGATGCAAAACACAGATTGAGCTTACATATACATATTAAACTGACAAATTTAGTAGGTAGTTCTGATTGATCATTATAAATGGGTATCTAATTGCTTGCTAAAAAATGACCTTCGCAAAACATTTATTGTAATCGTCATCGTAACAACTGCAATATCTAAAAATAATTGTTGAGAAGCATTAAATTATTTATTTATTTATAAATTCATATTTGCATTGTCTAAAATAATTAGTAGGTATTTGCGATATACGGCACACCACTGAAAACGAAAGAGTCATAACTGAATTTTCGAAAAACACTAAATTCTTGTTTTGAGAATAGGCACCTTTTATAAGTACAACAATTTGGGAAAATTCGTTACTTTGAATTTTGTAACGTAATTTTCTTATATACGGCTCCATAGAAGGAAGTCCCCTAGTGCTAGTGGAAGGGTTTTAGCATAAAAGATCCTACAGAAACTGTTATCTTTTTATAGAATTGTACAACGTGCATGTCAGATGACACAAAGAATGTTTGGGAATTTTATAAATCTTTGTTAATTGTGCATTTCACGTGCCTCGTTACAAATTCAAATTATAATACCATAATAAACAAATTCGCATGGAAGAAGGCTGGCTGATTCCTGCTTGCTAAACAATTTATTCATATCAAATAAATGCACACAAGGATATACACAAATACACGAGGGAAGTAAGGAACATAGGGGAGACGTTTATAATAGAGTAGGTACATTATATTATAATAGACAGATAAAACTGGAGAAATAAAGAACACACGATTATATAGAGGGCCAGATATTTGCTCTGACCACTATTTGGTAGTGTCAAAAATGAAGATGCATTCAGAACAGTACAAAGTAATAGGAAACTAGGTAAAGAGCTATGGCAGCGTATTAAAGAGAGTAGGTATTATAAAGACGGTAAGAGAAGTGTGTGGTGCACTAAGAATAAGAAGAAGTAAAAAAAACTAACCATGTGGTGTAACAAAGAACTGAAGAAGGAAAAATGTGTTTCGAAACCCACTCGTGTGTGTTGCCGAGTAGCACAACTGTAAATGATGAGTAACGGGCAAATATAGACCAATCAATTAGCGGAAACGCTAAGCCTAGTAGAGAGAGTGACAAATTTAACGTTTATAAAGAACAAAGGAATTAAAGTAAAGTAAATGGTAAAAGAAGCCAAACAAACAGCATGGGAAGAATTTAGGAAAACGATGGAACGGGACCAAACCAAAAATTATGAATTGTAAAGGCAATAAGGAAAGGAAATGCACAGAAAATTAATCAGATTAAAACAAAAGGAGGAAGGTTAGTGTCAGAAGAAGAAGATATTCTAAAGAGATGGAAGGAATACTTCGAGGAAATGTTAAGGATAGACCAAACAATTATAAATATAGAAGAAAACCACCACGAAGACGAAGATAACAACGATGAAAGGGATATCAAAATAGAGGAAAAGCAGCAGGTCATGATGGCGGATGCACTGAGATTGTTAAGAATCTTGGAAGAAAAGGATTAGAAGTATTAACAGAATTTGTGAGTAATGTGTGGCAAGATAAAAGAGTATTAAAAGATTGAAAGAATATCGATGAAGGAAGGAGAGTGCAAGAACACATATTTATGATAAAACAACTGATAGAAATAGTATATTACAGTACAAGTGGAGAAACTAAAAGTTGCACTCACGCGTGTGTCGAGATTACACACGAGGCGTAGCCGAGTGTGGAACGACACACAAGTGAGTGATTTAGTTTTCCACGAGTGCTGTATAGCGTTTTGTTCAATCCTGTTACTAATAAAAATTTAAAAAGAAACAGTGTAATAGTTATTTTTTAAGCATCTGAAAAAAACATAGTAGGTAGTTTTCGTTGTTATGGTTCCCATGAGATATGCGTAAAACAATTGACACAATCTGTCAACAAATTATAATTGTAGCAAAAGTGTGCGCGTTTAGATTTCCAAGAAAATGGAAGATGAAAATAGTGTATTTGTGCCAGATAACATTTTGGAAGAAGCGAATGCAGCGACATTTAATTTATTACCGAAAAAATCCAGACAGATACATCAAGGAGTTGGAAAAATTTCGGTCGTGGAAGGAGAACAGAAACGTAAATGTTGTAATTGAAGAAGTAGTGGTTGCTTATTTCAATGGATTGATACAAAAATACGCTGCCCCTTCTTTATGGTCTATATTGTCGATGCTTAAATGCACCCTATTTGTTTTTGAGAAAGCAAGTAAGTTTTAGTTCATTATTAATTTACTGGTTGTAATATATGAAATGTTTTAGGTTTAAAACCTTGTTCGCGATTCTAAAAAGTAATTCTAAGGGTTATCAACCTAAAAAAGCGAAGACATTTGATCAAAGAGAAGTGGAAGTGGAAAAGTTCAAGTCCCTGGTATCAATCAACCAATTTTTAACAATTGTAATGTTAATTTTCATATTTATAAGTAATTTTGTTGCTTTGTATCTATTAGTGATGAATTATGAATAAATAAAAGTTCAGCGTATGTGTATTATGAGTGGGTGAAAATTTTTCACTCACTCTTTTCGCTCACCCGTTGCTATGGAAATAGTTTGAATGGGTAAAACAAACAAACACTTTCACATTTGGTATCTAAGTAAGAAACACTTGTTTTCAATGACAGGATTGAACAAAATTTATTAGTTAGCGATGTATGCTGCATTAATCGATTTATTTAGAACAACTTTCGACAGTATACCTAGAAGTTTAGTGTCAAACAGCCTCAAAAGAAGCGAAATTGATAACAAATTAGGAAACTCCATAAAGAATACAAATACATACGAGAAACTATGGCAATTCCCAATCAGAGGAGATCACTACCGAAGGGGGGCTACGAAAAGGAAGAGTAGGTACTTAATCCAGCTATGTCATGGATGATATAATGAAAGAAGTAGAAGGAAAAAACTCGGAAGTTAAACGTGGGATATAAAAACCTGGAAATCGTAGAGCTAGTGGAATCATATTCGCAAAAAACGAGCAGGACTTAACAAAATAATCTACATTTTACATGTATAGTAAAAAGCCTTAAAAGATAGAAACCTAATAAGAATAATTGTTGAAAAGACAAAAGCGATGGCGAGAGGAAAGGATAACATAAGCATGGCAATACTAATATATGGGAAAAAGTGGATACATATCTCTAGGTGTGAAATATGACAAAAGCCAGGCCATAGCAATAAACAAAAAGAGGAAGACCAAGAAGACATGGGGCAATGAAATAATAGAGGTATGGTTAAAATTTAAAATAAATATCTGTATAATAGGCATTGCGCAACCTGCGCATGCACACACCTGTTGTTTACAATATCCGATGCGTTTGCTTTTACTAAAAGCATCTTTGGATAAAATTTCAAAGAAATATCTCAACACGTAGGGAAGTTGGCATCTGCGCATGCGTACATTTTATACATCAAGAATTTTCTTGGTGTCAGAGCTATACGGCCTATAAGGTGCAAATAGAATGAACTAAAACATTGGAAACTGTTAAGAATACACACTATACACACCAACTACGGATTTTACACATATTAGCATAATTACTTAGTTTATATGAAATTAAACGTATTTAT